CCAACCCCCCAATAAAAATCTTAAAAAAAACAAAACAGACAAAAAAACAAAACAAAACTGAGGTTCCCAACAGTAGATTGTAGAGTCAAAAATGCAAACCAGTTCCTCTTATTTCAAGTTTGGCCTGTCTTTTGCTGTACCTGCTGACCTCTCCTATTGGTTCTAGGACAATATGTAGTCTTGCTTAATGTAACTCAGATATGTATCACCTGAGACTTGACACTCAAGATCTAGACATTTGACTTGAATCCCATCTCAATGATTTGTGTAAAGTCAAATCCTTCTCCAAGAATTTTGCAAATTCCCAGAGGGCTTATGAGCCCAAGCCTTGGTCTGCTTCCTGGAATCCTGATTCATTATTCCACATTTATAAAATGTGAAACCAGAGGTTAAACTGAGCACCTCTGCCAATTTCTAAAAGAAAACAAAACCAACCAATCAACAATGACAAAAACAGTGCGCGCAGATGCGCGCACACACACACACACACACACACACACACACACACACACACACACACACAAACAAACACACCAGCATTGGGTTAAGGGATCTGACAGCATATCTTAGACCAAACAATAGACAATATATTAGACATTTCTAGTCTTTGAGAGTCCTTTCAGAACTCTCCACCCCTAGGGAGAGTTCCTTCTGTGACTCATGCCCTACAAGACACCTGAATTCTCCCCTGCTCCTGGCTCCTTTTTGCTTTTGCTCCTCCTATTTCCCTCCTGGGTTTCGCCCTGGAACTCCAAATTCCTGTCCCTCTACCATTCAGAACAAGTCAGCTGTCTCTAGTTCTTAATTCCCAACCTACATAGTCAAACTCAGTAAGGCTCGCAGCCATCCATTTAACAAAATCTACCCTCTTTTTAACAGTCCATTTTGGTTATTTTTTAAAGCACATCTTCTGTTATACAAACTTTCAAAATGTATCTTTTCTATCTTCCTTGATGTTATGGATAGCCTTTTCAGACTCCAATGTAGAACCAGCTTTTTTTTTTTTTTTTGGTAACTGTTTTTTCCAGGACCCATCAGCTCCAAGTCAAGTCGTCCTTCAATCTAGTTGTGGAGGGTGCAGCTCAGCTCCAAGTCCAGTCGCTGTTTTCAGTCTAGTTGCAGGGAGCGCAGCCCACCATCCCATGTGGGAATTGAACCAGCAACCTTATTGTTAAGAACTCACACTCTAATCAACTGAGCCATCCGGCCGCCCACTGGCAGCTCAGCAGCAGCGCAGCTCAAGTTGTTGTCTTCAGTCTAGTTGTGGAGGGTGCAGCTCACTGGCTCATGTGGGAATCGAACCGGCAACCTTGTTGTTCAGAGCATGCATTCTAATCAACTGAGCCACCTGGCCACCCCAAGATCAGCTTTAAGGCAATGCTTATTCAATTCTCTCACTCAATACCATAATCCACCATCAGACATGTCTTGAGACCTGTGCCAAGCACAGTAAGAGATGAAAAAGAGCCAGCCCCTGGCCTCAATATGTTTACCTTAGAGTTGAAGATCCATGATAATTATCCATAAAATATCCTGGAAATCTCTCAAGTTGTTATCTGCATAGCCGCATTTGTGAAGTGAAGAGCTAATGGGGTCAGGCAAGGTTGCCTGGGGAAACTGGGATTTGAGAAAGGACTAAATGGATATGCAGGGTTGGATAGATACACAAGATGGAAAGGTTTAATCTCGGCAGTAGATAAAGCATATGTAATAGAATGTAAGTCAAGACAAGCTTGGGGGATATCTTGGTGTGTGCTAGTGACATTTCATCCCATTCCCAACCTCTTTCCGGTCCACATGCCTAGAGTTAGCTAGCAATCAAACACAGTAAAAGATGTATCAAGCCACGTGTTTTTACCTCAAGCCCAAGACTCTGTCTGATATCTTGGTAGTTCTCAAATAGTGATCCCACAAAACAAGAGTTTATCATGAATTACACTGATGGGTTCTGCATCTAAAATCTGGTCTTTTTCTAATTGTTGAGGAAAAATATTACTAGAAATTGTTTCATTCAATTTTGAGTTTTTCTTCTCTAAATTTTAAAATTCTTTTATTCAATTTTCCACTCATGGACAACAAAACAGTTAACAAATTGCAAGTATGTATTAATGGGAAAAATAAATAACATTCCATGCTGTTAGTTTCTCCTGGTTTATTTGTTTGTTGTACTATCATGCAGGAATACTCATGGATGTAGCAACTCAGGCTTTGGAGCCATTCTGCCTAGGTTCATATCTCTGCCTCGCCATTTAGAAACTGTGTGTTCTTCCTTGGGCAAGTTATTTAACCTCTTGGTACCTCCTCAGTTTCTTCACCTGTAAAATTAAGATACTTATAACATCATTTCACAAGATTAATGTGAGGATTCAATGAGTATATTAGATTATATGCATTAGGAACAATCCTAACATCAGGAAGTTTGATGGCAATAGAATAATATAATAATAATGACTAACTTTTATTGAGAACTTAATATGTGTCAGGCACTAATTAATTTATCAATAAATGTTAGCTAGTACTATTATTATTATTATTATTATTATTATTATTATCATTATTACAATTATTATTATTTTGTCATCAGTGTTCCTGATGGTAGAGTTATTCCTAAAGTGTATAATGGAAATAAATAAATAATTATTGCATAGTGTTCTGAAATGAGCTCCATGGCCATCTTGTTCTCTGCCACCTGAGAAACATTTGAGGAGCCCTTCATTGTTCATCAAGGAGTTTGATACCATTCTTCCTTTGCATAAACTTTCATACCAATCACTTTCCATCGAAATGTCAAAATAGAACATTTGCTTCTAGTTGGACAAAAACTCCTGTTTGGAAGCCAACAAGGCATCCAGAATTCATTGACTGTTCTGGTATATGTTAGATAAGGCGGGGAAAACCGTAGAGGAAAATGCTTAAATTTTTCTACTATTATTGCTGTTTGGAGGTGTCTTTGTGTGTGTTACAGGCAGGGGTGCAATTATGTAGTTATGTAGTTCTCACATGTAATGGGTTTCAGTGTTGGAATCATGGTCCGAGATTCTTTCTATGGTTTCAAATCCTTCCATTCTAATAACAAGATAAGTTCTTATTAAAATGGAAAGAACTGAACAAGATGCATTGCAAATCCATTTTAAGCTTCTCCCAGTAAGCAAATGAATCCTGACATCACCCTGAAACAGAGAACATTCTGTGCTTAAATGGTTACCTGGACTATACTAAAGAGTTCTTGTAATCATCCTTCACAGAGCTCATGTGCTAGGATGGTTTCATTCAATCCTCAAACAACCAGATGAGACAACTTCCAGAGGTAAGAATTCTCATAGATTCTGCTTTACCTAAAGCGAGGATACAAAATTAATGACCAAATGATTAAAGCATTGTTTAGAGATTGACGGTTTACAAATACAGTTAACATCCTGCTGAGGGCATAGCTATTTGCATCACAGAGGTATCCCTTTTGCCTGGAGACTACGGATTTGGGAATTTATTAATATATGTAATTCAAGATTATCCTGTTTGGAAAGACCACAATGAACCAACTCCTGTAAGTTTCATGGAATTGGAACAGCATGGTCATTTTTAACGGCCCAGGGAAAGTCTCTACATTATCAACAAGGCTGCATGAGTAAGTCTTTCAAAAACCAAGGAAAGAGCTTCCACAAGAAGTACTTTCTACAAAGCACAGACAAAACTCTCTTAATAACTAACTTATCAGAGCAAGGAAAGTACCCACCCCAGAATCGCTATAGTTAATTTCAGATATAGCAAAACCAATCAATCTGCAGAGAGTCACATTAAAACTCTACTCAACAAATTTAGCAATGCGAACTGCAAGTTCTCCAAAAGGAAAATGATGTTAGCTGAGCATGCGCTTCAGAATCCATTAGACTGGAACCCGGAAATATTGTTAGCAGTGCTCGTAACCTGTCATCAGGAGTTCTTGATTATTCAAATATAATGAATGCCAAGGGTTGGAGCATATTCAGGGAATATAGGTCAAGTTGCTTTCGATAAATACTTAAAAATAGTGGTTACTAATTCTAAAGGCTTCGTATGAGGCATTTTTAAACCAATGTTATTTCCAATCCTTATCATAACTTCAAGGTGAGTACCATTATCATTTTACAAATGAAACAGTGAGGATCAGTTGTGGCTGGCCATCTTCTGAAGGCCTAGGACATAATAGGAACTGGCTGAGCCAGGAAAAGTCGGTTTTGCTCAACACCAAGTCAGGTGATTTCCGTACATATTGAACTACTTTCCCCAATGTTTGCTTGGTGCTTTTCTGTATTAATTGTCCCACAGGCTCTAGTCAATAGCTCTCTGATATAGGTATCACAATCCTTGTTTTAAAGAGAGTTAAACTGAGGTTCAAGGAAATAGGTAGCAGCTAAAGGTCATACAAGGAGTAAGTGGCAATTCTCTTCCAGAGGCACCATAGTGCATCTGCCAGAGAATTAGCAACAGAACTCCATCATCAACCAGGAGAGTGAGGTTCAAATTGAACTGAGTTGTGGTAGATTCTTAATAAGACACATGCCATTAAACTTTTTTCTAAGTCTGTTGCCATGGTTGTTAAGACCAGTATGCATTCCTTGAGATTACAACAATCTCACAGCTGATGATGCTGGAAATTGCATTGTGAGGTGTCATTACAAGGGGAGTGAAACCAAAAAAAAAAGTAAATTTAGTTTAGAGCAATAGGTTTCAGTGCCCAAGGCCACTGTTCCATTTGGAACTGTATCAAAATATTTTACCAACCTTTGCAATTATTATTATTATTATTATTATTATTATTATTATATTATTATTATTATTATAAAAGAAGTTCATGGCTTTATAGAAAAATATTAAATGTAATAAAAGTAGAAAGAAGATGGAAGAAAACCCATAGTTCCAGCATCCCAAGTCAACTACAACTGACAGTTTGTTTTCTTGTTTTGCTTTTTAAAATATATATGTAGTTTTATATGTCTTTTATAAAGTTGTCATCATACTGGATATATAACTTTAGGTCTTACTTTCCAATGTATGTCTTACATCGAACATTATAACATGGGCATAACCAGTACCAGGTTAATGTCTGCTTAGTTATCTACTGAGCATGGCTATCATGATTTGCATAATATTTTTCTCAACAGAATACCCCTTGATGCTTTTACCAATTGATCTCCGTTATAAAGAACACTGCAATGGGCATTTTTATGCATAAAGATTTTATTTCTTACTTAGGCTTATTTCATTGGATAGACACAGAAATGAAATTAATCATTTTAAGACTCTTAGTAGATATTGTCAAACTATTTTTATAAATGTATGTATTTCCCACTTGTAATATCATTGGAATATCCCAAATTCAACAAGTTGACAGAAAATCGCCCTGAGTATTCTCTGAAAACCTGTATGAGCCTGTGTTATTCATTCTGAATTTAGCCTTTGCAACCTGCTAGCATTTTAGAAATAATCTTTGGCTCCAAAGAAAAAAAATGGATGACTTTCAATAGACAATCAGTATCCTTGAGCCAGAACTGCCCTTCCCACCACGCCCCTCACTTGACTATTGCTTAAGAGCAGCACTGTGGAGAAGGCAGTTGCAACCACAAAGTCTTAAGCAGCACCATACACAGTATCTTAGGACAATCTGGTTCTGGACGTTCTGGCCAGCGGTGAGGACTTTGCACAGCCTTGCCTGGTCCAAGTTGGTCAACAGCTGATCTTTGATGAAGCAATTGTCACTTGCGAAAGGCCATTTCGGGTTACATGGATTGCTTCCCTTTGGAAACTCTTTTCTCCATAAAAGTTTCCAGTGTTGGGATAGCTTTGAAGAAATAGATCTCAAAAAAGATGGAGTTAGGGCCTCACTGGGTTTTCAAAAAGGAGTACTGAAGCAAATATCTGTAAGGAGACAGACAACTTTATTCACCAGAACCCTGCTCTGGGTTGGGGAGTAGGAGGAATATTCCCAGAATAGGAAGAGGAGCATCATCTTGACTGGGAAAAGGAGAATGGAGGAGCAAGGGACACGGAGAAAGGGACAAAGCTTGAGAGAGAAACAGAGATTGAATTGGAAACAGAAAGAGGGGGATTTTTTTTTCATATCTTTGAACAGATGGATGAGTGCAGAAAAATTTTAATATATTTTACTGGTGGTATAATGTGTAAAGTTCTAGAGT